CCAAAATCTTTTGAGTGATAACAGCTAATTTAGACCTCACCATTTTGTATGTGGAGTTTGGATTGTGTTTTCCAATGTGCATTACTTTGCATTTATCAGTATTGAATTTCATCTACCATTTTGTTGCCCAGTCACCCAGTTTAGTGAGATCTCTTTGTAACTCTTCACAGGCTGCTTTGGACTTAACTGTCTTGTAGTTTTGTATCATCTGCAAACTTTGACACCTCACTATTTACCCCTTTTTTCCAGATCATTTTTGAATATGTTGAACAGCACTGGTGCCCATACAGATCCTTGGGGGATGCTGCTATTCACCTCTCTTCACTGTGAAAACTGACCATTTATTCCTACCCTTCGTTTCCTGTCTTTTAACCAATTACTGATCCATGAGAGGAGGCCCTCTTATCACATGACAGCTTACTTTGCTTAAGAGCCTATGGTGATGGACCTTGTCAAAGGTTTTCTGAAAGTCCAAGTACACTATATCCATTGGATTACCCTTGTCTACATGTTTGTGGACCCCCCTCAAAGAATTTTAAATGATTGGTGAGGCATGATTTCCCTTTACACAAGCTATAGTGACTCTTCCCAAACAAATTTTACTCACCGATGTGCCTGATAATTCTATTCTTTACTATAGTTTCAACCAGTTTGCCTAGTACTGAAGTTAGGCTTACTGGCCTGTATTTACCAGGGTTGCCTCTGGAGCCTTTTTAAAAAATCACTGTTACATTAATTATCCTCCAGTCATTTGGTACAGAGGCTGATTTAAGAAATAGGTTACTTAGCACAGTTAGTAGTTCTGCAATTTCACATCTGAGTTCCTGCAGAACTCTTGGGTGAATACCATCTGATCCCAGTGACTTATTACTGTTCGGTTTATCAATTTGTTTCAAAACCTTCTCTAATGACACCTCAGTCTGAGACAGTTCCTCATATTTGTCACCAAAAAAGAGTGGCTCAGGTTTGGGAATCTCCCTCACATCCTCTGCAGTGAAGCTGGATGCAAAGAATTTATTTAGCTTCTCTGCAACAGCCTTATCTTCCTTGAGTGCTCCTTTAGCACCTCAGTCATCCAGTAATTGTTTGGCAGACTTCCTGCTTTCTGACATACTTACATTTTTTTTTTGCTGTTAGTTTTTGTGTCTCTTGCTAGTTGTTCTTCACATTCTGTTTTGGCCTGCCTAATTATACCTTTACACTTAACTTGCCAGAGTTTATGCTCCTTTCTATTTTCCTCAGTAGGATTTGTCGTCCAATTTTTAAAGGATGCCTTTTTGCCTCTAACCGCTTCTTTTAGTTCAGGGTCCTATATGCACTGCCTCTCCTTAAGTGCCGAATCTGGGCCTGTGTATATAGGGAATCTACCATGAGACACTTCTGCTTTGATTTCAGAAGGTATACTCTCACCTACCATAAATTGAAATTTGTTCCTCAGATCACAGTTATTAATACACTAAAGTATAACAAATTTACACAAGAAGTGTGGATTTGAACCATTGGATGCCACTGAGTGCTCGAAGTGTTTGTGGGATTCTGTAAAAGAAATGCAGAATCTTTTATCCCCATTAAACTGTAAACTTGGGACTATACCCATTCGAATGCATTGTATGACATGGCTGCCTAATCATCATAGTGATTTCCAACTTGTGTAGACATACTTGAGCTAGCTCTCATCATACCAGCTGTGAGAGTTCGGTCTTGAACCTGGGCCCATGGCACCCCAGGCAGTGCTCGGACTGTGGCCACCACCTAGTAGCTCCCTGTAACCCGTGGAGAAGAGAACTAGAAGAGCTCTAGCTCACCTAATGCTCCTACAAAGCTCCTTACTGGAGGAGATGTCTGGCCCTACCGACTGTCTTGGATGTACTACTTAAGCCCAGAAAGAGTCAAAGGAAGTCATCTGAGCATGTACGGTGGATTCCTGCTTGGCTGTCACTTAGTCCCCTGAATCCTGTGCTTTGTCTTCCTGCCTTCCAGCTCGTTCCTACCCTCCTTATCCCAGATCCTCCTCCACTCCAGGTTCCTGCTTTCCTGCCCTGCTCCAGATCCCTGCTCCTCCACCTTATCCCTGACTCAAACTTGGCCCCTGGCTTGACTCCTGACTTGGGATTCAACTCTTGGCTGGAATCCTGACTCAGGATTTGACCACTAGACTTAACTGCCTACACCTTGGTCCTTACAATAGTGTGCCAAAAGAAGTGGTGTAGCCAACGTAGCTCAAGCAGAGGCGAGTTGCAGAATGGGTTAGCTCTGCCAAGTAAAAACTTGGCTGAATCCTGTGGGCATGTATTCGGCATGGCTGGCCTGTGCTGCTACTCTCTGTTCTACCCCAAGTACATTGTAGGTTGATGAAAATTAGCACAAGTATGTCTCCATGAGTTGGCATCATGCCCATAGCTCATAATGTAGCCATAGCTATAGACTATAATTTGATAGACTTATCATATGTTGATTAGAGCAAGTTTAGAATACTATTTGCAAAGAAGTGAGTTGCACTATCTACGAACATTAATTTACTACTTTTGTCATATGCTTATCCAGAATTGATTTTAAAAAAAACAAGAGAAGTTAGTAGAGATGGGCTGGAGCTGTTGTTAAAATCTGATCCTGTTTTCTAGAAGACAAAACCAGACATATGTACACAAAAAGGGGGAAGAAAAGAACAGCAAAGATTTAAAAAAATGCAGGTTCTGTCTCTGGTGTTGACTCTTACTTGCAACCTCACTGCTGGAAAACACACAGGCATGGCACTTGGTCTTATTAGCCACTCTGAGACCTGGCAAATTCATGCCACCATCGGGCAGTTTAGGGCATTTCATTGAGTTGCTCTCTCTGATCCCAGGATCAAGCAGTGTTGCAAAATATGCAATCTTGAACTGCTAAGACAGACTTGTAAGACAGAAGGAAAAAGAAGAGAGATAGGAAAGAGAAGAAATAAGTCAGGGAAGGAAAAGGATGCCTGGGGTGAAGTATGGGGATGAAGTCTCACATCCCAGGTGGCATTTGGGATCTAGCCAAAGCTGGTGGAAGTGGCAATGTCATTTGGCTGCCTCTCTCTGGTCAGAAAATCTTTCAAGATTAGAATGAGGAAGGTCTAGAGTCCCAGGAGATGGTAGGGCTGGAAGTCATGAAGGCGAAGCTCGCTTTTTCCCCTCCTCTCACTTTTCAGTCAGCCAGCATCACACTCCATTAGATTTTCCCAAAAGAGTCTCTCTTTGAGGTACCTCAAAGGGAGTGATGGGGGGAATAGCCCATCCTCTTATTATTTTGTGCACCAATTAGGCCTGATTACCAACACATCAATTTTGGTTCACTAATTTCTGATCCCACACTTCTCTTGTTTACCAGGCATATTCTTAACACAGTCCTTGAGTTTTGGTTGGACTAACTCAGTCTTTCTGTCTCCTTTTTGCACCTTTTCTCATCAACATTTATTATAGGTTATTATGACAGTTTATGAGCCTTCATTCAACTTTTCCATAGTTGAGCTCACAATTAGAGTAAATTTGTAGGCCCAGTTATTACGACAGGGCATAGCCCAGTTATGTGGATGTTTCTGACTGTACCTTTCATTGGGTATTTTAGGGTTCTATATTACTCTCTGTCTACATTCAGAACTCTCAACAATGTCAATTTTGGGTCCCTGATTGAGATAACATATGACTCTTGTCCTCTAAAGAAAGTTAAGGTCTTTCTAAACTAAAAGAAACAAAATATTTCCAGAACTTCCTCGTTTGGGGTGAGATTTTCAAAGCTACCAGGGAGATTTGGACACTTTTATTTTCCATTAACTTTAATCTGATCCCCCAAATGGTTTTGAAAATCCAAGCTTTGATCTTTCTTGAATCTGCTAAGTAAGTTAGTGGTCATTAGCTAGCAAAGAAACTTCTCCTAGCTGTGAGCCAGTTGCTCAATAAGGGAGGGGGAGAAGACAAAGATATAACCTCATTCCTCTCCATGTTGGCCTTTGGAATGAGCCACCACATAAAGTTGAGCAGTCTGCATAATGCTACTGAATGGTGCAGCGTGTAACTCTCATGCATACCAAGCAGCCCCAGGGAGATTGCATCTCCGGGGACACAATCTTTCTCCCTGTCTCCTGAAGGGCATTGCAACCCTTCAGGAGTCTGGAAGTGGTGTTTTGTACAGTCAGAGATTCCAAGACAAGAAGGGGCCATTGTGATAATCCAGTCTGACCTCCTATATAACACAGGCCATAGAACTTCCCCCAAATAATTTCTAAAGCAGATTTTTTAGAAGAACCTCCCATCTTGATTTAAAAATGGTCAGTGGTGGACAATCCACTATGACCCTGGGTAAATTGTTCCAATGGTTAATTACTCTCACTGTTAAAAATTTACACCTTATTTCCAGTCTGAATTTGTCTAGCTTCAACTTCCAGCCACTGGATCACATTATACCTTTCTCTGCTAGATTGAAGATTGCCTTAATTATTAACTGCAAAACATTTTGAGATGATCAGATCAGAGGTACTATATTACCTGACGAAAAGTATAATTATAATGGCCAATAGCCCCTGAGTACCCATGATACAGAAACTGCAACCCCTGGACATTCTGGTGCTCTATCTATTCTGATATTGCCTTTCTTTCAGTGGCTTAGAATGTAGATACTGAATCCGGAGACTAAATGACCTTTTCTATTTAATTCATTTCTCTAGGGGTTGTATTTGTGCACATCTTTAGGAGAACTGTGAGGACAGTGGGGATGTGGTAAAACAGGTGGAAATAATGATTAATAATCACATAAGTAACAAATTAAGCATGCAGAATTCCATCAAAGACAGGTAATAATTACTGAGTCCCCTGAGCTGTAACCTCCTAGCACAATCACATTCCACTGTAAGTGCTTGAACACTTGAGAGGCCTTGCCCGTTTCAGCTTCATCTCCCCCTTTAATGCACGTCTATTTCATTTTAATTACTATGTTCTTCAGGGCCCATTATGTGATGACTGTGGCCTCTTTCTTCTTGGCAGGTATTATTAGCCGCCAGGAGGCAGAAGAGCTGCTAATGAACAAGTCTGAAGGAGCATTCCTGGTGCGGGTCAGTGAGAAAATCTGGGGCTACGCCTTGTCTTATCGCCAACAGAGTGGGTTCAAACACTTTTTGGTGGATGCTTCGGGGGATTTCTACAGTTTCTTGGGCGTGGATCCCAACCGGCATGCGACACTCACGGATCTTATTGATTTTCACAAGGTATCACTTCTTGTGGAAAGATCAATCACTGAACTCAGCAGATTAATAAATTAAAGAGGAACCATGTAATTTGAAACCAACCTAGAAAGTAGAAATAACCATAGTGAAAAGCTAAACGAGTGTACATTGGCTCTAGTCAGAATGTACAAATTAAACTTCATACACCTGGAGTTTTGTTTCTCTGCTGAAGTGAACCAGTGGATTTTTTTTTCCAGTTTCAAAATCTTCAGTATCCATTTGTGTCCCATTCTAACCAGCTTTGTATGCACTGCCTGCTTTGAAGGACCAAAAGATGCATTAATAGGGACTGGCAGAGCTAACACTTTCTGAACTTCTTTGGTCTGCAAAATTTGGTTGGAAATATTACAAGAAAAGGGCTTTTAATTTAGTTAAGTTTACCATGAGCCTTTGACAACTCTACATGGCCAGGAACTGGCTCTTCTGGAAGTTGTGCTTCCTATGGGCCAGTCTGTGACTAAAAAGCAGCACAGTTTTTGATGGGAAAGGTTATTTTTACTTTCTCATGTGTCTCTGTCCATCAATTTTTCTTCTGTTTTTCTCTTTATCCTCACCCATATTGTTCCCTTCTTCTATAGAATTTCCTTCACTTTTCCTTCTCTCCTGTTTTGTCTCATCTTTGTTTCACTCTCATTCCAGTGGACTTTTTCTCCTCTGACTATTTCCATATCCCATTTCTCCCCAGACAACATGTAAGGAGCTTTCCTTTTCTTCCCCTAATTTCCCCTCTTCTCTGCTCCCAATTTCCCTTCCCACTTCTCTCTTTCTTGAGGTGCCATGAACTTCAGTTTGTAGCACCTCTGCAGGCTTGCTCCACACATACGCACACTCTGTTCCTTCCCCCAGTGAACCTCTTGTTATTACTTATTATACTGAGCAACAGAGGGGAAATTCTTCTCTGTGACACTGGGGTAAATCTGCAATAATTTACTAGATTTACATCAGTTTAATGGAGATGAGAAGTTGGGCCTACACATGAGGGCACCGCAGAACATGACAGTTCCTGCTTGAAGGAATTTACACTGCAAGTAAGAAACAGACCATGGAGTCAGAGCAGAGTGTAATATTCTACATAAATAGCTTGGGACAGATTCCTGGCCTCTCTCAAGAAATGGCACAAGAAGAGGTCTTAAAACTGCCTTAATGCAGCAGCTGAGAATTTAAGTAGCATAGGAGAAATGTGAGCCTGCCTCACACCTTCTATTTGTCCACTCCAAAGAGGGGTGGGGCCAGAGTGCAATGTGCTCCAGTGATCCTGGCTAGAGGAACAACTCCTCGAGACCATTATCCCCTGGCACAAGGCAGAGCAGCCATAGATGGTTCTAACTTCAGTTCGGGGGGAGGGGACGGGGCGGTAGAAAGGTGACATAGTGCTGCCAGTGCTGTGGATCTAGCCCGTTATACGTACAACACAAACCCCACATGATAAGCAGAAGGAAAGCTGAGCCTAGACACCTCTATTTTATTTTATATATTTGAAGAAGCCTTCATGCTGGCCGTCTTTTTCAAAGTCAGTGCGTCTCTTTGTACTGTCTCCTACAGAAACAAGCAGCACCTAGATCGGTATATTGGAGAGGGACTCTCAGGAGACTCCTGGCCAGGGATAGAAGAGTGCATCTACAGTTGCACAGCCGGCACTTAAACAAGGAACTCAGTCCCTCAGGCAGGAGTTCTGGCAGCCGTGATGTCTCCTCCTCTTTTTTGGGGCAATCAAGTCTGACAAAAGTTCCTGTATTTCCCTTGTTTTCTCCTTGCCCATCATAGGCAATAACCACACAAGACAGCCCATCCGTCAGCAAAGAGAACAAGGGCACCTGTCAGAAGCAAAATGTCTATTAAGGCCAGGCATTAAGGAAAAAATATTCCTGGGGGGCGTCCCCGATGATAAAATTGACAGGTGTGGTTATGACAGGCTGATTAGAGAAGCTGCTCTTCCTCTAAAGTGACCACCCAGTTCTCTTTTAATTGCCTGGCTTAGTGGACATATGTAAAACTGGTCAGTTTGCTCCTGAGTGTCAGTTCCTGTCTTCCATATCATCGTCTCTGAAACTTTTCTGTCTGCCCTTACCTCTGAAGTGCACTCTCAAATCCTCCACAGCCTTTTAATGGCCAGCGACACAATGCCAGAGGATGTGAAAGCAGCACAATGAAAATTACCATAATCTCTTCCAGATCCTGCCCCAGTTCTGTTTTAGATGAAACTCCTTCAGGAAGGTTCCTGGTCTTTTGTCATGGTTAAGATGAACTGTAGATGGATTCATTTATCTTCAGAGCCCAAAGTTTACTGTGATCCCAAAGACCACAGCAAAAGCTGTAAGAATTCATAGCCAGCCACCAGCACTAAAGGGGCTAGGAAATGACAGTAGTACAGAGCTTGACTCTCTTTCCTCCTCTTTGCCTCATTCTGGTCTTTATTTGGAGACACTGGTTAATGTGGATGTTGGGAGATTGTCAGGTCAGGTAACTACTACCCAACTTTACAGCCACAAAAGATCACGTGGCACCAGTCAGTCTAATGTTTATATGAGTTTTTACAACCAGTAGGGTTTATTTTTGCATAGAAATATAGTGTTGAAAGCAGCAAACATTATAATTAAGTTGAGAGTGGCTTTCCCTACTAAACCCCTGTCTCTGCTTGCCCATAACTTTCCCACAATGTTTCCATTTGGATAGGAAATTTCCATACTTGTTTTCAACCCAACATAGTGATTGGGCATGGACCAAGACTGGGACTTTCAATGGGGCCTAAAGGAGTTAGGCACTCAAATTCCCATTGAGTTTAATTGAGAATTGGGCACCTTTGAAAATCCCAGCCCAATAACTTGGATCTAAATTTGGATTCAGCTGCATTCCTAACTTTGGGATGTTCTGATCTATGGTTTTGCCCCATATCTAATCCCTAAATCATTTTTAATAGACTAATTAAATTGTTTCAGTCATTTTTAATGAGTAACAAAACGGAATTCCCTTGATTTATGCAACTCTTATTTTCCCACTCAATTTTTACTGTATTCTAAAGTGCCAGTTTATATAATGAATAACAGTCTCTACGCTAACAATGGAAAATGGTTTAGTTTTTTATTCCATTCTTTTTATATTGGCATACAGTTATCAGAGGGTGGCACAGATTATGCTGAGCACCAAGAAGGATGTGGAACTAGCATGATCCTTTCCCCTGACTGTGTGGAATAGGGAATATCAGTCCCTGTATAAAGGAGAGGTAAAGAAATAGCTGGTTTTTGTATGGGCAGCTCCACACCTTGAAGAGAGAGGAGGAGCTGCTGGTATCCCAGTGTACGTTTTATCAGGTGCACATTTGTGCGTCGACTTAGAATTGCAGATAATCATTTTTTAAGATGTGTAGTTGGACAACAGCAGCCAGTTTCTCATCTCACCAAAGGGTTGGTCCTTACTTGAATTGGGTGGGGATCTTCTTTTTTGACGTGGTTTTGTTTCTCGAGGGGACAGGAGAAGGCTGAAGTACTTTTGAATGATACTGTAAATGTCCTTTTATCTTTTCAGGAAGAAATTATCACATCCTCAGGTGGAGAGTTACTACTGGAACCATGTGGACAGAGGAAGAACCCACCTGACTACAGTTCTTTATTTGAATGACTGTTTTCAGTCTTTAGGACTAGAATGAAAATCCTATGGATAGTTAAAATAGTATGTTAGTTATCAAATCTTCAGTCACTAGCTGTTTGAACAGCAAACTACCACCACTAAAAGGTCCTAGAAGCAACCGTTTGATACCTGATTTGTGGTAATTATTTATGTCACCAAGAGTTTAAAGATGGGAGAATACTGACTGACTACAGGTGAAGACAATCCCCAGTGGTCCTTCTAAGAGATGTGGTCAACTGGCATTGACACTCAAGGTTATTTTAAGTTTTCAACTAATGTCCAGGGTTGAAAATGCTAACTGACATGACTTTAAGAAGGAAGGTGAACTACTCTATGCATTCATAAGACATTGTATGAAATACTAATATGTTGAATTAGGTTCTTTCCTGTGACATCGAGTTTGCTAGTTTCCAATGACAATCTCATCAGTCAGTCTTGCAGTTTTGCAAATGGACTTTAAAAACTTGTGTAATTTGTGATATCTTATTGTTTACTTTCAAATTCAGGCCTATAAAGTGAAGTTTCCCTCAGAGCAGACAGTCCCCACAAGACCCTGTGCACTATTAAAGACTTTATGGGTCCAGTGGCAATGGAAAGCCTTTCACCTATTTTATAGAAGATGGTCAATTATTCGGCACCATGTAGCTAATCACTGTTTCCAACAGGGAAAAAAAAACACCTACAAGATTTAAAACTTTCACAAATCATTTTATGTTGGGAATGTAATTTTGAAACTTGAAGTAATGAATGAATTAAGGATGGGGAAATCACTCTGGATAAAATATGAAGTGACCTGAATCTTCACCCAAAACTTTAGCCAATCCCTGACATTTCTCTACTTTCAATGATGCCCAAGCCACATCTTGCAGTTTCCTGGCTTCACTTTTTTATAGTTCCAGACACTCCCTTACCAGTTCTGCTAGCCGAGGAGTTAGACAGATCCATGTATAAGGCATGAAGTATTTATTAGATATCATGCCTGTTCACTTTTACATATGAGGCAGAGAGCTCTTAAAGCATTTGTTACAGCAACATACTAAATATCAGAACACATATAAAGGAACAGGTATACCGAAGTGAGTAACTTAGGGTAGCTGCTTAGACTTAGTAGATTGATAAGTTGGAGATCATTCCATTAGACAAGTTATGAAGTATAAAGAAGAAGAGTTTTAAAGAACTCTCACTGGCCTCCTGGTTTGCTTTCAGGTCCCTTTGCAAGGAGCTGGCAGTTGGACTCAGCTGGGGTATACAGATGTTTCCCCTTTCAGTTCCTCAGATCCTATTCCTCCCTTCCCCGGGAGGGCATCATTTCAGAATTGTCTGGCCATGCTGAAGGTTTGTTTACAACATATAGCATAATGTATTTGATATGAGTCATTCTCAGTGGAGGGACGTAATTGAAATGGCCTTGTGACTCCTTAAGTGAGTAGTTTCTCCATCCTTTTCAGATACTTAGGGCCCATTTTGAATAATGAGGGACTTTGCCCGCAGCTACATCTCACATCTCATTTCCTTTGCCTGTTCCTTGAAATTCTTCCCTCTTAACTCCAACCTTTGTGCCTCTCTCTCACTTTCAGCTTTGTGCCTAAATTCATAATATTCTCATGCTTGGAACAGCCTCACAATTCATATGTGCCACTCTCCCACATCCCCTTAGAACCTTTTTCTTATTGTTGAATCCCTTCCTCCTGAGAGGGTGACTCCATTTGTTTGTGCCCTTGAATGGGTATCCTGTGTATTGTATCTTTCAGAATTAGACTGTAAGCTGATCTTCAGGGGAAGGGACCTTGTCTTTACATGTTTGTTAAGCACCACCAACACTTATGGTGTTACACATAATAAATGCTCTTCATAATGCTTCATAATGCTCTTCATAATGACAGCAGCTTTCCTCATTATTGCCTCTTCCCATCCTTGTTGAAATCAGAAAATTCAGACATGTCTTGCAATATCATATAGGATATTTTCCATTTGTTAACGTTAGCTTTTTGTGAGATTAAATCTATCTGTGTTTGTGATTTGTGAGGAAGAATTTCAGTTAGCTTTCCACAGAGGGAAATTTAGTTGGACAGTTTCTATGTGATTTGCATTGGTCACATTGGCTCAGGTTTCTGTATTACCTCAAAAGGTTGTCTAAGAAGTTAGGGTTCAGTCTAAATTATAATCAGGGCTCACTGAGTGTATTGTTCACTTTCTGGATCAGCCATTCTCATCATAGGGTACTCTGATGTGAATGCAACTAAGATTTCTTCACCAAATATGTTTGGAAAATTAGGATAGTCTTTTAAGAGGCTGATATCTTGGGAAGCAGTGTGACCTAGCAGTTTGAATGGGTGACTGGGAGTCAAGAGGTCTGGGTTGTCTTCAGAACTTGGCCATTGGCTCAACAGTGGAACTCTTGCAAGTCACTGAGTCTTTGTGCTTCAATTTACCATCCTGGAAAAAGGGGATAATAATACAGACTCCTCCACTTTTGTAAACTGTTTTCAGATCCTCAGATAAAATGTTATGTATGCTGAAAGTAGGACACATTGTTTTCCAATTCTTTTCAGGTTTACCTCCCTGTAGTATTCAGCATCTACAATTATGAGAATATTTGTGTACGTAAAGTTGAAGCTGCCTTGTTCTGTATAAAGAATTCATATTCATAAGATGTTGGCAATAACAAAATTATTCTTTTCTAAATTATACATTTCCCAGGAACTGTCTACATTTTTGGATATAGGACAAGAAAACTTGAAAGTTTGGATCTTTAGCCTACCTGTCCTGTCCTAATTAATATGTATGAGACAACCAAACAGTTTTCAATTCATGATATATTTCCTACTTTTTTGGGTCTGCATTCCATGCATGTCTCATATTTTAGGTTTTACCTGGCTTTAAAATAAATTCCTTGTAAGTTCTCCTGCAAATGAAATTACTAGCTGGAAAACCGCAATTTCATCTTGAGAGTTTTATTATGTTAATAAATGTCAGGATTCTCAAATAAAGGAATTGCTTTTTTTCCACAGCCCCACAGAAGTAATGAAAAACATCCAGCCAACTCATAGAGAACTGCAGAGTAAAACTTGACAATATATAACCAAAAGTATTGGAAATAAAATACAGTGCAACTTAACTGAAGATAAATTTCAAAGAAAACAAAAGGACATCATAGTAGACAGAAATTAAAAAGAACAGAAGCTTTCCTAGGTAAAGATGTGCAGCTGCTGCTAATACACTGGAGGGTAGTGGGGGAAATACAAGAGTAGAGACATTTTCTGAGCTAACAAATGCTTGTTGCTGCCTTCCAGAAAACAAATGGACTATGAAAAGGTAACTAGTGAGTGGGAGGTACAAAATGGGGGAAAGTAATTTAGAAAATGAAGGGAGAATTAAAACAATGAGACAATGTGTTTATCCCATTGTTTTTTTTTTTAATTACTATATTTTTGAAGTCCTTGGAGGAAACTCAGAAGATTGCTGTCTTCCCCAAATCACAATGCTTAAAATGCAAGTGGAGCCTGAGCCACAACATTCAGAACTGCATTTCAAACTCCCGAAGTCCAGGGACGTTGGCTTAGCCCAACAGAGATTCCAAGCTGCACAAAGTCCAATGCCAACTCTATCCACATATTTATTCAAGTGACACCATCATAGGACCTAATCACATTAGCCATGCCATCAGGGGCCCGTTCACCTGCACATCTACAAATGTGATATATGCCATAATGTGCCAGCAATGCTCCTCTGCCATGTATATTGGCCAAACTGGACAGTCTCTACGCAAAAGAATAAATGGACACAAATCTGACATCAGGAATCATAACATTCAAAAACCGGTAGGAGAACACTTCAATCTCTCTGGCCACTCAGTAAAAGATTTAAGGGTGGCAATTTTGCAACAGAAAAGCTTCAAAAACAGACTCCAGTGAGAAACTGCTCAGCTTGAATTAATATGCACACTAGATACCATTAACTTGGGTTTGAATAGAGAGTGGGAGTGGCTGGGTCATTACACATATTGAATCTATTTCCCTAAGTTAAGTGTCCTCACACATTCTTGTCAACTGTCTAAATAGGCCATCTTGATTATCACTACAAAAGTTTTTTTTTCTCCTGCTGATAATAGCTCATCTTAACTAATTAGCCTCTCATAGTTTGTATGGTAACTTCCAATTTATCTACATGTGTGTATATATATAAATATATATATATACATATCTTACTATATGTTCCATTCTATGCATCCGATGAAGTGGGCTGTAGCCCACGAAAGCTTATGCTCTAATAAATTTGTTAGTCTCTAAGGTGCCACAAGTACTCCTGTTCTTTTTGCGGATACAGACTAACATGGCTGCTACTCTGAAACCAGATTCTTGCCAGGATCTGCATTCAGATTCCAAGCCCCGCCTTGCTTCCTCTACATTCAGTGTTGTTTGGTTCTGTCCATTTCTCTACAGTCTTTTGAGGTGGTGATGGTTTCAATTTCCTGTTTGTCCAGGTTTATGATATTATAGCAGTGACCTGCAAATCTTAGTTGTGATTTATTTTTTCTGGGGTAGCTAGTGTTGAGTCAAGGGAGCTGCATGTTGCGGAATTCCATTATAAGGCTTCCTGTTAATATGGCCTCTGGAATTGAATGCAAGACATATTATGGTAAGTCCACTTTGAGAGGGACACAAAGTTCAGTAATAAGGAAAACATTTTCATTCTTCAATGAATCTGACTTTCCTTTATATCCCTATCATAGCAATAAAAATGCACTATATAGGTTCACAAGTATTTATGCATATTCTTTAGAAAGAATCTCCAATGCATTCATTACCTTTGCTTTCTGGAATGCCTGTTACATCTGGAATTTTTGATTTTTGTCTCAATACTAAGGCTGTGTACAGATTTTGCCAGCTTAATGGAATTGGCTTTTGTATGGGAAAGCAAAAACACCCCACACAAACCTACTACAGGGATAAGATTTTGAAACCCACCTAAGGTATTTGGATGCTCACTTCCAGTGTATCATCTCTGCTTTAGGTATTACAATGGAATTAATATACAGTTTAAGAGTATTTAAAAAATATTGAATCTTTGCATCAAAGAAGCACCTCAAAACCCCATTTAGTATCAGGGCAGCATCGTACTGAACAAACACTGAATAAAAGACTATCCCTGCCTCAGAGAGATGTCTATTTAAAGATTTTTGGTAAAACAGATGGACTATATATGGTGTTCATATTTACTGAATCTGGGCTGGACCCAGAGTCCATTGAGACCATGTGAGACTCTGCATTAATTTCAACAGACTTTGTTGAGCTCCATGAACCAGAACCTCCACAGGTGTGAATCATGATAGCTCCATTGACTATAGTGAAGCTATCCAGATTTATACTAGCTAAGGATCCACCCCCTTGAGTATGCACAATCCCCCTTGTCTTTCAGAAGACACGGATACACAATTTGCTTTAAACACACACAAGGCTATTTATATTGTTATCTTATAGTGGTGCCTGTGTGCACCACAGTGGTTTGAAGTCTAACTCATAAATTCTTGTCTTCCAGTGTTTATAAAGCCACAGCACAAATTTGCTCTAGGGTGAAAAGTGTTATCTCTCATCCTGGGAGCAATTTTCTTTCTCTTTTATATAAGATATAGATATATATAAAATTAATCTGCATCATTTACAAGCTGTAGCCTATTTTTTCACAGGTTTCTGAAGATTTACGTTTTATTTTTGCTATGTCTCTTCTTTAAGATTCCCACAGGCTCATGTTAGTGAACTGAAGTACTAACGTGCCCCTGGCTGTGCTGTCAATTGCAGGAGGTATTTCCATTTGAGCAGTGGCTTGTATTTCCTGGACTGATCCTTGTTCCTTGGGTATATTTTAGATTTCTTGATGATAATGATGCATAATGGATTTCTGTAGCTAATTTATTGCAGTGCAAGTACTCTGAAACCGCCTCTACCAATATGTGTTTAGTGCTAGTGATTACCCCTGCAGTGTGTGTATTTACCTTTTGGTGTGTGCCAATGCAAGTTTTCTGCTAGGCTGGAACTAGTTGCTGGTGGTGTTTTGCTCTCTTGGAATTTCTTCCAGTAGTTTTAAGTTAAGGTTACATCCTTGAATTATAGGTTTAGTTATTATATATTAAACATGGATTACAAGCAATTTTTCTATGGTGGAAAAACAACTTCATAAGAAATGGCTCTGTTTTGGCTCAGATTGTGTTCCCTTGATCTGTGCAAATGGTGGAAGCTCTCCATTTGCAGATCTCTTGTCCTTACTGAATGCAAGGGTCTTAGGTGCCTCTGTGGCAGCATTTACCCCTACTGTTCCCAGACTTCACAGATCTGCATGTGAGAAAGGAACATTCAGTGGCATTGAGGGCAGAGGGGGAGGGTGAACGGACACATCTGGTCCTGTGGAGTTGCCCATCCAGGGAGCAAAGTGTTTGGGGCTGAGCACTAACATACTCGCTGCATTGTTCATTATACCAGTAGCAGGCAGTGGGTGCATTGGCAGGGCTGGCCTTACCATGAGGTGAACTGAGGCGGCCGCCTCAGGTGCCAGACTGTGAGGGGGCACCACTAGGACCCAGAGTGTAGAAAATTGTGTCTGCTGCTGCTGCATATGTATTCTCTCTGCTCTAGATGCACAGAGATGGTGGAGTGCTGTGCTGGAGGAAGGATGGCACAAGAGACATAACAGGCAGGCAGGAGAAAAGCTGAGAGGGAATAACAGAAAGCAGCAGGAGCTGCAGGGAGAGAGAGGAGGAGGAGCCTCTTATTTACCTCTCTAGTGCCCCAGGAGCCTGGACGATTAACACCAGCTTTTCAGGGAGCTTCCTGTTTCCTGCTGCTTCCCTGAACCCACCTGAGGAGAACATGCAGTCAACTGAAGTAGTAGGAGCCAGTTAGGCCCTTAAGACACTGATATCTTCCCTCACTCAGGCCCTGCTACCAGCCTGCTTATTTGTCCCCTTCAATTGAGTGTTGAGAGCCACTCTAGCTGGCCCAGAACAGCAGTCATGAGTGAAAGAAGAAAACAACCTTCTGGGGCAGCATTAAGAAAAGAAAGCAAGCAAAGGAAGCTTTTCTATCTAAGCAGGAAGGAGCTCTCCTGAGATACAGACACAAATGTTCACAGTGAGTCTTCCGGCCCCAGTGTGGATGTGAGTGGTGAGGAGATGCCTGATCTTCCAGTTAGTCAGAGTGCAGGTGACCAGGCAGCTACTGCAGCATCCATATCTTCATCTCAAATGGATGTACCCATGCACATTCCTGAAGAAAAGTGTAGATCAGAGAAGAGTGTGGTGGAGGAACAAGAAACAGCTGCTGCTGAGTTTAGTTTCTTAAGTCTAGGTGATCCGGGGTTGTGGACCCACTTGAGCAGGAGCCTGAGGGACTTCCTTGTACTGCATAGGACACAGCAAGTGAAAAGCTTCATGTTCCCCAAAGACAATGAAAATAGACATTTCAATCCAACACATTACTGGTGTGAAATCCCCAATGGTGACAAAGTGGCGAGGCCATGGCTTATGTACTCAAAACCCCAGAATTCTGCATACTGTTTTTGTTGCAAACTCTTCCAGCCACATTGGGTTCTACAGGAACAAAGGACTGGAAAAATCTGGCTAGAAATCTGGCATGCCATGAGAAGGCAGCAAATCACCAGAGAGCATTCCATAGGTGGAAAGAGCTCAAGATGAGACTAAGGTTAAAGGCCGCCATAAATGATCAGCATTAAGAGAAGATTGCATTAGAGTCTCTTTATTGGCAAAATGTTCTGACAAGGCTCATTGCCATTGTGAGAATGCTTGCTACCCAAAACCTAGCACTGCGTGGCACTTCAGATCAGCTGTATGTGCCAAACAATGGAAACATCCTTAAAATTGTGGAGCTGATGGCTGAGTTTGATGCTGTACTCCAGGAGCATCTAAGAAGAGTCACCACCCAAGAAATGTAAACACACCACTACCTTGAAAAAAACATTCAAAATGAGATCATACAGTTACTGGCAACAAAAGTCAAACAGAAGATTGTG